AATATTTTTATTGATTTCAGAGAGGAAGGGAGAGGGAAAGAGAGATAGAAACATCAATGAAGAGAGAGTCATTGAACTTCTGCTTCCTGTATGCCCCCTACTTGGGATTAAGCCCACAACTTAGGCATGTGCCCTTGACTGGAATTGAACCCGGGACCCTTCAGTCCTCAGGCCGATGCTCTATCCACTGAGCCATACCAGCTAGGGCTATAGTGGTATATTTTAATTTCTAACTAGATAATACAGAAATTTTAACAAGTAGTAAAAAAATAAAAAGAAAGTCTCCCTCTTGCACTTCTCTTTTCCCTCATTTATCTATTGCTGTTAGTTTAAAATTTATCTCTTTATAGTTTCTTTATGCACTTATAAACAAATACAAATACTTTAATACATTCTTATTCCCATCTTACTTTTCAAAAAAAGTAGCATATTTTGCACTTTGTTTTTCAGAATTTGTCCCAGTCATATTTTTAAATGTATATTTTATTAGTGATACCATTTTTGCATCTGGGGACATATTGGAATCAGCAAAAAGATAAGGAGTTATTATTGACATTTCCCAACCCTTATGCTTATGACAATTCAGAATTTTAGAAGGAAATATTTAAAAGCATACATTTTATCAATTTATAATAAAAATGGATTCTCCTTTTGTTGTCAAAGTTTACTGATACCATTAGTAGCTCTTTCTATTGATAGACCAATTCATTTTGTAACAGCTACAAACTGAAATCCTATATAATAAAGAGCTAATAGGCTAATTAGACCGGATGGCGAAACGACCTTCCAGAATGACCAGTGGGCGGGGCCATGGGGCCGCGAGGCAGCTGGGGCTGCGAGGGCCGAGCCCCTTGCACCAATTTCGTGCTTCAGGCCTCTAGTATTGTATAAATGAGAACATATTTGCACAAACTTTTTTTCCTGCGTCAAAGTATTTTCTTTTTTGTATTAGTTCCATTTATCCTTGGAATAATAAATTAAATATTGGTGTTGTTTTCTTGGGGAAGATGGTCTGACTAGGTGAGTGTGATTTTCCCATAATACTCTACATACCAGTAGTAGGAGCATAGCCAATTATTTTAGTGATACTATGTAGTACAAATTCGCAAAAAGGAGGTTAATGTAGTTGATGTGTAAAGTAACTAGCCTTCAGATGTTACTTGTATTGAGAGTTGATCACCTAGCAGTAGACTGCTTTTATTTAGACACTAGAGGCCCGGTGCACAAATATTTGTGCACTCGGGGGGGGGGGGGTCCCCCCGCCCCGGCCTGGGCC